CTCTCCTTTAGAATTTGGAGGGCGGTGAGATGGTCCTAGATTTTCTTCTTGTCATTATCCGAGACCCCCCACATCCTCCACGATTCTAGGACCTCTTCGATGAGGCGTCCAGTGAACGCTGGTAAGGGGGCGGCTACGTCGTTCTCGACGTAGAACCAATGTGAATGCCACCCCTTGTTGGAGGTCAACAGACGCATCGACGGGTACTCGTTGACCTGGTTGTTGCGGAGCAAGATGCCGGCGCATCCCATCGGCACGCTCAGCTCTCGCTTCTTCAAGAGGGTGACGGCGAAGAGATACCACCACAGGTCGAAGTGGGGACTAATCCCCAAGAACCCCTCACATAGGGTGACGAACGCCGCAATGTGCTGGACCCCATTGGGAGTAAGGTGCTGCAGCTCCACCTTGTAGTAATTCAGCAGCCCCCAAAGGAACTTATGGGCAGGGGTGGCGAATCCCCGCTCGTGAAAGTGAGCGAAGGACATAATGTAGCCTTCGGGCGGCGACAATGCGTCTTCATTGTCGGGCAGCCGCCACTCCTCCGTGGCAGTCCGTGCGCAAAGAAGGCCGCAGCGAACGACGCCCTCCAGGTGCTGGAGGGCGACATCAGATCTGCACCACTACTCCATTAGACAATGGGGGTGGTTGGATGTGAGCTTGATGGCGGCTATGATGCGGGTGCAGGAGGCTTAGGCGATTGGTGGCAGAGGTTGTAGGTGCAAAGGCGAGGAGGCAAAATATGGAACCCTGGGGGCAAACCCCTTGGTTTTATAGGGGCGATGGATGCGAGAAGGGCAACCGTCTACCTAGATCTCCATGCCTACCATGATACACCACCACGTCACATCGTGGGATATGCGTCTGTGATCCCTATCCTTTCCCACCAAAGTCACGCCGGACGTTTCGCCTTCCCGGGCAGACCAGGACTCTTTTCTCCGCAGAGGGGATACTGGTCAAAAAGCATTTCTCTGGCCCGCATAGGCCTTGGAGTTTGAGGGCTGGCCCAACAGTTTTGACAGCCGTCCCAACGAGGGATGGGCCCGCGAGCGACCAAAACTTAGGCGCATGAGCCTCAAGGGAATCTCGATCCGCAATCGAGTCTCAACGGGGCTGACCCTGGATGAATCCCCGTGAACAGGATACCAAGGTTACCTTTAAACTATCTAGTTGTCAAAACACCAAATCTCACAGCCATACCAGCGAAGGGTCCGAATTACCTCTCGGACGATTCTATCCGAATCACCCGGGGGCTCGAAGGCTACACCCGATGGGTGCGCTCGCGTGCACCCTCTGGCGAATCAAAATACCCTCTGGGCGATTCTATCCGAATAACCCGGGGGCTCGGGGGCTACACCCATCGGGTGCGCTTGCGCGCACCCTCTGGTGAGTCAAATCACCCCCAAGCACGCCCGGGGGCTACTGTCGGGGACCAAATACTGGTGCACCCAAAGAGGTGGAACTAATAACCATCAAACGTTAATGCTTCCGAACAGACAAAAGCGCAACTACACTTCTTGCCCATATGGTTGAAGGTTGGCTGCGCCTCGCTCAACCCCTAAGGGTTGGCTCTACATCGCACGACCCCTAAGGGTTGGCTCCACCTCGCCCGACCCCCGAGGGTTGGACTCCGCCTCGTCCGACGTCTGGGGCCAAACTTTGATTCGCCCGACGGCTGAGGGCTAGCTCGCCTTACCCGATGTCTGGGGGCTGGCTCCGCCTCGCTCGACATCCAAGGGCTGGCTCTGCCTCGCCCAACATCCGAGGGCAGGCTCCACCTCGCCCGACGTCCGAGGGCAGGCTCCGCCTCGCCCGACGGTTGAGGGCTGGCCCCGCCTTGCCTACCGTCTGGAGGGTGGCTCCGCCTCGCCCGACGTCCGAGGGAAGGCTCTGCCTCGCCCGACATCCGAGGGCTGGCTCCACCTCGCCCGACATCCTAGGGCTGGCTCCGCCTGGCTCGACGTCCTGGGGCTGGCTCCACCTCACCCCACATCGGAGGGTAGGCTCTGCCTTGCCTGACGTCCCGGGGGTAGCGTCGCCTTGCCCGACGTCCGAGGGCAGGCTCTGTCTCGCCAAACGTCTGCACCCTACTCCTTCATAATGATGAGCACATGGTAAGATAGGACACTCAGGTCAACCGCAGTACCGAGGACCATACCCTGCACGCCTGCAGGAAAGTACTGTCAGGCTATGACGGGATGGGAGCTTTAAGCCCTTCTAGGCATGATAGAGCCCGAACAGTGTTGTAGGCGCCGACTTATGTCTTACAGTGTTGTGGGCGCCGCCATCAGCCCTCGGACACGGATCTTGACATAAGCATACGACAACCACTACAATCTTGGAGGGAACTCACATCATCTATAGTAACAGACGTATGGTCACTTCCCCGTCTGCTCCCCGTGGGGTCATGGCTCGGCACCCTAGCACGCCGCACCGTCCGCCGGACTAGGATGGGACGTGACATAGGATCGATGAGCGTGCTATCCCTAGCACCGTCTGCCATGTCAGCAGGGCAGGTTCAAGGGAAAAGAAAGACCCGGCACCTTCGAAGGACCTTCTCTACCTCTGGTTTTTCCTCTTTTTCCCATCTATAATCCCTACTCCCTCTTGGTCTATAAAAGGGAGGGCAGGGTACCCCACTAAGGGGGGATTGATTCCACACACAACACATCACATAACACACAGCCAAGCAACAACCGAGCTCTTGGCATCCTTTCAACCTTTCCATCAGAGACTTAGGACCTGTCCCTCTCTCAACCATTTGTACCCCCTACTATGAACCTTTTTCAGTGCTAATAACATGAGCAGCAACAAACTGGATGTATGGACATTCTGTCCGAACCAGTATAAACCTTGTGTCCTTTAGTATACCATCCGGGCCTAACGCATAACAAATATAAATTTATTAGTTGGTGTTTATTCGAAACAACGACAAGTGTCCTCTGAGGGCTAAGATTCTTGTACTACCTTTTTTGTACCCTTTTATTCCTCTTTTCCCCATAGAGGCTTCGTCCCCACTGTAAAGGTCATTGTTCTTGTACCGGCTGGCCCCACACTGGGGACATTTATCCAGTGACTTGAACGTTTCACCACGAAAAAGGATAGGTTGGGGCATGCATGGATTTTTTCAACCCCCATTGTCAATGGACTTATGACCTTCTTCGCTTGGTATGTGTTGGTGGGAACTGAGTTTGGTTGTGGCAGCACCCATGACAGGAGACGTAATAGATCATTGAAACTACAGTCTGACAAGCCATACTTAGCCTTCGGGATGAGTAGCTCAAGCACAAAATGTAGCATTGTCCAATGTGTCGGATAGCCCTTTTCAACACCATACATAGTCTCATTCGATGCTTTTGTCACCCTTTCCAAATTTTCTAGACCTTTTGGGCTCTTTAGTAAAATCTCTGGTCCAAGGGCTCGAATCATGTCCTCCAAATCATCTTCATCCCCGACACGTGCTCCACCATCATTATTGGCACCACCTTCGTCGTTATCATCCCAACCACCAGCATCATCACCTTGTTCATTGCCAAACTCGGGATCCATTCGTGCATCAAGCTCTGCTGAATCTTGGGACAGGGATTCTAGGGTTTCGTCGTCGTATTCCTTCTCATCCTCATCGTTAACAATAATCATTTCACCATGATGAATTCACACTGTATAGTCCTCAACAAATCCTCGCATAATCAAATGTAATATGATGATAGTCACATCTGTCCATGCCATACGGTTCTTGCAATCTTTACAGAGACAAATAATTGTATCCTTATTCTCTGTCAATGTCATTGCATGCTTCTCTGCGGCTTTAATAAATTTATCCATCTCTTCACAGAAACCAGCCTTGAACCTTAACGAACCATTCATCTAAGAGTTCCTATACTCCATCTTTTACAACAACAACAAAACAAACATTAAAGGACTACTTATTCATATATATATAAATGAATCAAATTAATAATTACTTGAGAATAATTGTATATACTTCAGATATATATGAATATAAATCAAATATAATTACATGAAGCATACAAACACACCATGGTAGAGGAAAATTAATTAATGGCCCATTTATCCATAAATAATTAAAATGCATATTTGTTGATTACAATAAACAATTTCAAAGACAACAATTAGCAATAATTATATTTTACCCAATATCTTTCATGCAAACCCTAGTCCAATTTCATCAAACATAAATTTACAAAAACAAAATTAACAAAAAAAACAAACCCTAGATCTAGATCGACATGCACATGAAACATCCATAAAACTAACTAATTGTTCACTAAAATCAAGAAACATGGACCAAATAAGGGTAGGATCTTGTTCCCCTACCTAATTTATCATAGTATATTCAAAACTTGGGTCTAATTTCTTCATAAGTAGCTCAAGCACAATAGAAGAGAGAGAAAAACAAAACTCTAATTACTCATTAACCAACCATTAAAACTTCAAAAAAAGTGTGGAATAACATTTTCTTACCTTATACAACCTCTCCACCAAAGAATTTGAGACCAAAACCTTTTCCCCTTAGTAGAGTAATTTTTAGAGGTGTCCAAAGCCTCCCCACCTTTTATTTTATGGGTTAGAGTGAGTGACCCAAGGAGGAAGAAGGGACTACAATTTTTTATACGTGGGTCATTTGTAGGGGCGGCTGGTAATTGAGCCGCCCCTACAAATCGTAGGTATTTATACGTGGGCCTCGTATCACCAGCCACCCCTCTACTGTTCCATTTGTAGAGCGCGTCTGGTCTTGTGGGTCCGAGCACGCCCTCCATCACTAGTCGCTCCTAACAAAAAAATTATCCAGTTGCTACGAATGTTTTTTTTAAGTAGTGATACTCTTCGATCCTCCCCAGCACCACTAAATACATTGGCGACCGAGCAATCAGTGCAGACGAATAATATGCATACATAACTGACATGCATGCTCCGATCCCTGGATTGATCAACTCCGATCCAATACATAATAATAATTATATATGATTGCGAATAATCAATCAAAACTCTACGTTGGCCTGGTAGGTTGCGGACTTGATGTTGGGCTTCTTCTTGGGCGAGATGCTGTCGAGGACGAGCGCGCAGTGCACGTTGACTTTAACCTGTCGGAGGTCGAGGGAGCCGAGCTGCAGCTCCACGGGGACGCTGACGAAGATGTCGAGCGGGATGTCCCCTGCCTTCTCGCTCTCCTCCAGCGCCTGCTGCAGCCCGGAGCCGAAGCCGTGGCGGCCCTCCATGGAGATGTCCATGACGGTGACGTTCTTGTAGCCCTGGAAGAAGGCCGGGAGCTTCCCAGAGCACAGCGGCGTGCCGCGGTAGGAGACCACGGTGTGGGAACCTTCGCCGTACTTGATGGTGACCTTGTTGTTGGGGTTCTCGGCGCGAACGGAGGCGGTGATTTTGACGTAGAGCGTCAGGTCGGACGAGCTGAAGTCGAACTGCGAGACGGACATGTTGCTGACGGAGTAGGACGGCGCCTTGGGCTTGTAGACGAAGAAGAAGTAGGCGGCCGTGCCGGCCAGCGCCGCCACGATGAGCAACAGGAAACAGCAGCACCAGCACAGGCAGCCGCAGCAACCGCCTTTGTCCTCGTCCTCAGGGTACCGAGGGACGCTGCGCTTACCCATGGCTTATTAGTTAGTAGCTGTGTAATAGTAATAAATTATTATTTGTTAGGGACGTCGCCCTCCGGCCGCCGGGCTCCGACTCTCCGAGCCAGCGAGAGAGGCCGGCGTCGACGGGGGTGGGGTGGGAGGCCGTGCAAGGGAGGGTAAGCCTGGGTTATTATTATCTTGGGAGTTGCTTTTTTGTAGGCCAGGAAAAAGGCTCTGTGGTTGGGAGAAGAAGGCGGGAACATGATGGAAATGGAGGTCCAACAACAGGGAGTTCCTAGCTCTTCTAAATATGTCAACGTCCAAGATTGATTACGAGGGCAAAGTAAAGGGAGAAATTTGTCGTGCCTATTTATATATATACATACACTCCTAGTAGGTTAATAACTTCAACTCGTCCCATAAATAAGTGGCATATTTTCAGTCCACGGAAGCGGGCGGTTGGACCAGCCCTGTGGCAGTGAGCGCGGGAAGTTCAAGTTTGTCTCGCATGTGGTCCCGTTTGGCCCACCGGACCAATCCAGTGGTGGGCTGAACCTCTCTATGATCACGGCCATTTGGCCTGACAGTGAGACCACAGATGGCAGCGGCCGACGATGGGACCTTTGGGCGTGCTAACCAAGACTGGGAGGGATGCTTTCATTTAGCTTGTTGATGAAGCCGAACATTACCAATTTGGAGAAATTGCCAATGACACTGTGTTGCGTCTCATGGAGATGCCATGGTGTCTGCTCACCGATTTAGAGAAATAAATAATATAGAGATTATTTACACGTTTTTGACATGCACTTTCAATATACTAGTATAATGCCCATGCTAACACAACGGCTTTATCTAGGAGATGCACATGAAAACAATAATTTTTTTCCATAGTTCAACTTTTACACAATTATATTTGAGCATGTATACAATCTGGGAAACACTTTTTCATAAGAAGGCATAATAAAGTTATTTGTCGTATTAACCATCTAAGTTATATTCTGCCTACGTCCTAAACATGACTTGGAAATTGAAGTGCGCTCGCTCAACTTTGTCCTTTCAGGCATCGGCAAAGTCAGTGTTGACCTCTGAGGAAATTGAAGCGTGCCCAACAACCCTGAGTGGCCCCTCTATTGCGTATGAAAATAATAAATTTTAGGTGAATATGCATAGTGAGTAAAATGGTTTACCAACATGCCCAAAAATATATAAAAAAAATCAAGCACCTGCCCAGCAATATATATTTATATGAGGACTGATAAAATGGTTTGAGTATACCCACCGTTAATCACTAGTTTAGGATGTCTTTATAGACAATATTCTTGGTGCTCTTTCCTATAGGATCCAATTCCTCTTTTGGATTAGCCAAAATTCTTATTGTTGATCTTAACACTCCCCTTGATAAACTAACATAGAGCTGTCCATGCGAGAACACGGGTTCTAAAAGGTAGATCCCAACATTAGGGATAGTTTGTCCCTATGATTTATTTATCACTATGGCAAAACTTAACCGTACTAAGAATTGTTTTCTCATGAACTTGAAAGGAAGAGAAATATCATCCGAGGGAGACAATGGGAGCCTTGGTATGAAAACCCTTTTCTGTGCATGCTGTCCACCAACGATCTCGGCATCAATTGCATTGTCTTGCAATGCTCTGACCATAAGCCTTGTTCTATTGCACAATCCATTGTTAGGATCTAGATTGCGGAGAAGAATCAAAGGACAATTGATTTTTAGCTTCAGCTCGTGCGGGGGAGGCCATTTGGAGTTATTGAGTTCAAAAAATCAATAGGGAAGTGATTCTGAGGATCGTCAACAACAGTGTCGAAGCTATGGTAAACCTTTTCCTCACTTGGAAACATCTCAATCATTATTGCGTTCAGTCTATCAACATGTTCATTTTTGGTCGATAGAATGACACAGGAGCTCATATAGACGACTGATGTTGCATGTTCTACAGTGATGGGAAAACATCTTGAATGAGTTTGTTGATAGCCACCTCCGTGTCAGTAAAACTAATCACAATGTCATCAGGGAATCGAATATAATCATCTCCAATTGTTTGCTCAGTTCTATTTCCAATTCGTAGCAGGTAATCTGAAAACCAAGGGTCAGACTGCGTCCTTATGTTACGTGACAATCTTATCTTCCTTATTTTCTCCCACAAATAGGATCTTTGTAATGTTGCATCAGTTACCTGTGCTCTTGTCCCACGTGTGACCACAGGAAGGACATGTCTGAAGTCTCCACCAAATACCATGACTGTCGACATAATATCGTCGGCAGTCCTCCGAGGGGTATCCCATGAAGATAGATTGATCGGCAGAGGAGCGTGACATCAAGAACAAGAAGGCAACAGAGACGCATGAGTTAAACAGGTTGAGGCCGTCAGTATGACGTAATACTCTACTTCTGTGGTCTGTTGGTTTGTATTAGCTATCGTCTGATATTGCGTGTGTTTGGAGAGGGTCCCTGCCCGTCTTATATAGTCTGGGGAGCAGTGTTATAAGTCGGTTAGATCCGAGAGATAACCGGAAAGTAATAACTGATTACAGGAATCTTGGGATCATACATATCCTAACAGATCTCGTAGTATCTTCAGGATATCTTCCAAATGTCTTGTGGGAGGCATCGAGCAGAGTCGTGCCCCGCAAGGCTTCGTCTTGTGGGCTCGGCCGCCCCTAAGGCCGCAGCCCATGTGGTCTGTCGTGGGTATCCGGGGTCATACCCCCCACAGCTAGTCCCCGAGTGCCTTGTACCTGTTGTGCAACGCCGTCTTGAGCTTGTCCAAGCAGGTGCGAACGAAGCCGAGCAGTCGAACTCATGGTCCAACCACCGTGATGAGTTGCCGAGTAGTTGTGAGCAGTTGCCGAGCAGTGTGTACTGTCACCGAGCATGTAACACCCTCGGTGTTTGGCTTCCACTAAGTGCATTTCATTTCATAAACATATGCATCATCTATGCCATCATCGCCATTGTTACTAAAACATGCATGTGCAACAATTTCAACTGTGTATGTTTCATGCTTGATTGTTGTGAATAGTAATGGTGTAACATGTGAATGTAACATGAAACTCTCATACTTGGAAAAACATGGCAACATGGTAGTAGTGTGACAAGTATAGTATAACAACAAGGTCACGCAACATGTGGAACATTGTATTGAAACATATGTATGAATTGCTTGGTTTACTTTCTTTATCACATGTGATCAGTAGAAGAGGTATAACAACTTTGGAAAATGGTTGATTATGGTCTGATACACCTTAACTACACTTAGGTTACTTGTTTGGACATTGTTCATGTAGGTCAAAATGACCAAAATGCCCTCAAGTGAAGGGTTGACTAGAATTGACCCTAGGAGTCTCATTGTTTGACTGTTTAAAAAGTGTAACTTAGAGACTTTGCATGGCTGTGCACTCTTTACAAAAGTTGTAGCTAATTTATCAAGGAACAAAAGTTGTTTTATGGTCAACTCATGAAAAGGTCTAGAACATGGTCAAACATGGCCCACAAGTCAGAAGTACATGCTGATTCATACTCAAACAAATTTTTCTAAGTCCTAACGCAAAGACAGTTTCGTGTACCCATGTTTGGAGCCGTGTATCTCGAACCGAGCCACACCAGCTTGAGCTTCAGTGGAAAGAGTTGTAGTTCAAGGATTGATGAACAACTTTGTTAACTACGGCATAGCCTAGATCACTCTGATTAGGAAATAATCTTTGTCAAAGTATCATTTGTCGGGCTTAGAAGGGAACGCTGAATCGGAGCTGGTGATCAAATTTCAGATTTCGGTCGACGCGTGGGGACACTCGTCGCCCGGCTTTGTCGTCGTCTGGCCACGCTACTGCGCCTCCCCAGCATCACAGACGCGCCTTGAAGCCACCAGCAGCGCTTTGTCCGACGACTCACCGCCCCAGTTCATCTTCTTCGCCTCCACCGCACGCGCGCGCCGAGAGCTAAGCCGCCCGCCATTGCCGATCGAGCATCGTAGCTGCTGCGTGCACGCCACTGCTGGAAAGCGCGTTGCCCCGTCCGCTGTAGCCTCTCCGTGACCTCCTTCACCTCTCACCGGGTCAATCGAGCCTCGGTAAGGGCGATTCGCCGTTCTTCCCCACCGTAGCCATGGCGGAAGTTCGCCGGAGTTGGCGCCCACGCGCCGATTGTCCTCGCGCCCTTTCCACCTCCCTACCTCGCGCTAGGTCATAGGAACACCACCGGCTCGTAGGGTCTGATGATAGTGGGCGAAATGTCGCCGCCCGATTCACGGAGCCGGACGCGCTGCGCGCGTCGCCGCCCGTGTGCTCGCCGCCACCCCTCTAGCCACTGAAATCATTGCAATAGATGGGTCCTCTAGATGCGCATGTGTGTGGGGAACACGACGGTCTTGCCGTCGAGTTCACGGAGAAGCCACCGGTGGCGAACTAAGCCACGGCCGCCTCCTCCCCTGTTTCCTTCACGACGAAGCGGGCCCGTTCGTCGCCTCTCGACGCGAGGCGGAGTCCAGTTCAGGGCGCGCCGTCGTCTTGGCATGATCGTGCGCTTTCATGAGCCGCCGTTACATGGGCTGGCCCGGTGTGGCGAAGTTGTTTTCCTATTTTATTTCGTTTATTTATTTCACAGATTTATGTACATCTTGAAAAATATGTAGCTCCTAGTATATAGATCCAAATGCTATGGTTCCAATTTTGTTGAGTTCATGATAATGTCTAGTATTTAATAAAAATATTATATGGACACATGTTTTAGAAAAATTTGATGAATTAAATAGGAGTTTGAAATGTGTTTTAGAAGCATGCAAACTTGTTTGAATTTTATCTTGAGTTTCTGTGGTCCAAAAATTATGAAATTTTGTGGGCAGTCTGTTATTGCTGATGTGAAGCTCTGGTAAAAATTTTAGAACTAGTACATGTATAGTTTTTAAGTTATAGAATTTCCTTTTATTAATAAGTGGATCTTGTGTGAATTTTCATAATTTTCTATAGATCCAGTGGAGGTAAAATTTTATGGGTGCTATTCTTATGCTAGAAGGATG